ACAAATGAAGTAGTCTAAAAAGGTATTTTTCAAAACAAACATGTAATATTATTAATATTTATATAGTTAAAAACGTGAAGAAGGGCTGGGAAGGTGGCTCAGTGGTAGAGTGCTTGCCTTGCATGCATGAGGCCCTGGGTTCGATTCCTCAGCACCACATAAGCAAAAAGAAAAAAGCCGGAAGTGGCACTGTGGCCCAAGTGATAGAGTGCTAGCCTTGAGCTGAAGAGCTGAGGGACAGCACCCAGGCCCAGAGTTCAGGCCCCACGACCGGACCCAAAAATAAAACAACAACAACAAAAAAAAACGTGAAGTAAACTTTCATAAAACAAATAATACAGATTTAATAAGATACTAAAGGTGATTAATAAAAAGACTCGAGCCGGGGCTGGGAAAGTGGCTCAGTGGTAAAGCGCTTGCTTTGCATGCCTGAGGCCCTGGGTTCGATTCCTCAGCACCACATAAGCAAAAAGAAAAAAGCCGGAGGTGGTGCTATGGCTCAAGTGGTAGAGTGCTAGCCTTGAGCTGAAGAGCTGAGGGACAGCGCCCAGGCCCAGAGTTCAGGCCCCACGACCGGACCCAAAAAAAAAAAAGGATTGAGCCAGGCACTGGTGGCTCACACCTGTAATGCTACTCAGGAGATTGAGATCTGAGTCTCAGGATTCAAAGCCAGCCCAGACAGAAAATTCCCTGTGAATTTCTTATCTCCAATTAACCACCCGAAAACCAGAAGTGAAGCTATGGCTCAAAGTGGTAGAGTGCCAGCCTTGAGCAAAACAGCTCAGGGACAGCAGCCAGGCTCTGAGCTAAAGCCCCACAACCAACCAAATAAAGAAAAAGAAAAAAAAAGAGGACTTTAGTAAACCTTTCTTTTTTCTTCCTATTTCTGTGGAAATGAGGTTTGAACTCAGAGCTTCACACCTGCTCAGCTTACTTGCTCAGCTTGTCAATGTACAATTTGAACCATGCCTCTAGCCCAATTTTTGCTGGTTATTTTGGTGATGGAAATGCTCAGATTTGCTTCAGGGCTGACACTGAACCAAGATCCTCTGGCTCTCACTCTCTTTAGTAACTAGGATTTTAAGAAAAGGACACCAGTGCTTGCTCTCTTGGGAAGGGGAAGGGAGGGAAGAAAAGGAAGGGGGGTCATCATGGTACATTATATTCATGTAAGGCAATGTCACAATGAAGCCCCTACCTTGTACACTAATATATACTAATTTTTTCAAAAAAAATCATAAAAGGAGAAAAGAAAATCAATCAATGTAATATATCACATACAGTATCAAAGAAGAGTAAGGGGAACCACATGATCATCTCAAGTGAATGAATAACAATACAATCAGGGACAAAAGGCCATTTGATATCCTCAGGTACAGAAAAAGTATCTAATAAAATTCAATACTCCTTCATAATTGAAAAAAAATCAAAAAGAATAGAAGGAAACTTCTTTAACTTGATTAACAATATACAGTATATGAAATTCTAACACCAGGGATTGAGAGATCCAGTTCTGTATTCCCATCAATATGTGACAGTCTTCTATGTATTTGACATTCCAAGAGTGTGGCTGATTTATTTGCTTTTCTAAACAATATGTTAAATACCTTTCCATGTGTTTAGGTCCTCTGTATACTTTCTTTTGTGAAATGTCTATTCAACTCACATATCCATTTTTTTAGTTACCTGTTTTATAACTTTGCCTCAAAGACTTTGCCTATACATTCTAGATGCAATTTTTATCAATTTATATGATCTACAAATGTTTTCTCTCAGTTTGTTCCAACTCTGTGGGTAATTCTTTCTCTCTTCCACCCCTTCTATACTGGGGTTTGAACTCAGGCCCTGAGCACTGTCTGATGGCTTTTTGCTCAAGGCTGGCACTCTACCACTTGAGCCACAGCTCTACTTCCAGCTTTTTCCTGGTCAGTTGGAGAAAGAGTCTCATGGACTTTCCTACTCAGACTAGCTTCAAACTGCAATCCTCAGCTATCAGCCTCATGAGTAGTTAAGATAACAGGTTTGAGTCACAGGCTCAGCATGAGAAGTAATTTTTAACAGCAATTTCCATTTTTTACTTGCTACAGGATTATTCACACACATTTCTTCTTAAATGAACTTAGATTTCCTGTATCCTACAATGAATTTGTACATTTCTGTTAAACAGTCAAAAGTGACAACAAGTTCTTCATAGTATTTATTATCTACTTTAACATTTTTTGGGGGGAGGGATCCAGTTGTGGGGCCTGCACTCAGGGCCTGGGCGCTGTCCCTCAGCTCTTCAGCTCAAGGCTAGTGCTCTACCACTTGAGCCTCAGCACCACTTCCGGCTTTTTTTCTTTTTGCTTATGTGGTGCTGAGGAATCGAACCCAGGGCCTCATGCATACAAGGCAAGCACTCTACCACTGAGCCACCTTCCCAGCCCCTACTTTAACATTTATACAATCTGTATTTAAGTCTCTCATTCTTGTTACTGATAATGGGAATCTTTTTTCACCCCAGTGGCTTAGCAATATTACTTTGATTTTTGTCTGTTTTTCAACCCTCAGTCCCTAAACCTTTTTATCTCCCACTCATTTGGGTTTCATTTGTTCTTCCTATCCTAGTTTCTTAAGTTAGAAGCTGAAATCATTCTTTTCCAGTATAGGTCTTTAGTGCCTATAATATCTCTGTATCTGTACCCCATAAATAATACGTGTTAGAGAGGTGGTGTTGTCTGAACAGGGTCTTGTTACATAGTCTGGGTTGGACTCAAACTCACAATCTGCCTGCCCTTCAGCTTCCCAAGTGCACATACCACCATGACTGGCTTGTGTTCTCATTTTCTTCTATTTAAAAAAAATCTAATTTCTTTATGGTGCTTCTTTACACTATTCTACTTTTTTAAATAGTGATTTCTTTTTAAGACAGGGTCTTATTACATAGCACAAGCTGGCCTTAAACTCAACAATCCTCCTGCCTGGGCCTCCCAAAAACCAGCATTACAGGTGTGCACCACCTTGCCCAACTTTAAACACCCTGAAGTATTTCCGAAATAGAAGCTTAAAAAAAATATACTGAGCCATATACTGCTGGTGGCTCACACCTATAATCCTAACTACTCTGAGGTTCATGGTTCAAAGCTTGATCAGGAAAATTCTTGAGACTCTTATCTCCAATTAATCACCAAAAAGTCAAAAGTGGAGTTGTGGCTCAAGTGATAGAGCACTAGCCTTGAGCACAAAAAGCTCAGGGACAGTAATTTGAACCTGAGTTCAAGCCCCAGCAGGACCAGCACCAAAATAAATTAATTAATTAAAATTTTAAAAAATACTGGCATCTAAGTGAAACCTTAAAAAAAATGGAAGAGGGGCTGGGAAGGTAGCTCAGTGGTAGAGTGCTTGCCTTGCATGCATGAGGCCCTGGGTTCCATTCCTCACCACCACATAAGCAGAAAAAACCGGAAGTGGCCTATGGCTTAAGTGGTAGAGCACTACCTTGAGCTGAGGAGCTGAGGGATAGTGACCAGGCCTAGAGTTCAGGCCCCATGACCGACAAAAAAAAAGGAAGAAAAACAGTTCAAACACTGTTCAAGAGAAAATAACTGCTAGCAATGCTTTCTACGTATATAAGATGATATTTGTGTATTATGTATACATATAGATGTGTGTATACTTTTAGTGTATCTGTGTGTATTTATGTATATATGACAAAATATTAAATATGAGTCACTGGGGTTTACTAAAAAAAAACTAAACAAAGAAAGGTGACCCAACAACCCAGCAAAAGAGAACAAAACTGTAACTCCATGATGTACATACTCTGTCAAGGTCCCAAAAGTCTGTCACTATATTTCAGAGGATCACAGTTCAAAGCTAGATGGAGAAGAAAAGTCCATGACACTCTTATCTCCAACTCATCACCAAAAAGCTAGAAATGGAGATGTGGCTCAAGTGATAGAGTACCAATCTTTAGCAAAATGCTGAGAAAAGTTCTGGCCTTGAGTTCAATCTAGCTCTGGGGGCCAGGTGAATTTATCCAACTTGAACTGACTTCACTTTGTACTAAGTCATCTACAGGTGCAGAAACCTCAGAGCTTCGTTCGCAAGAGGTCTATGAAGAAGAAACGCTATGGATCAAGCACCATCCGTCTCGAGTCTCCTAAATGATCTCCACTGTGAAAGACGAACTGTGCTCTTTCTCCAAGAACTTATTCCTGAAGACTGTCCGGGGCTTCAGCTAATGACTCAGTACAATGTCGGACTACTGTTCTACTAGGACAGCAGGTGTTGAGTCTGGCATGGAATAGTCATTGCCTGGCACTATTCTTAAACAGAGCAGATGGAAATCTGCTCTCAAGACAAACGGAGAAATTAAATGCAAAACATGCTATTCCTCAATAAGAAAAGGCTGCTCTTAAGCTCGTCCAGGGCGCGCAGGTTCCCCCAGGGCGTTCCGGGGTCCCCGGCTCCTCCTCCTCAGCCCACGCTGGGGACCAGGACGCTGGCATCTCCCGCTCAATTTCAATTCTCCCACGCCCCGCCAGGACGGCCAGCTGGGCGCGACCTGCCACCTTCCCCTCCAGGACGGCCGGGCCACCTACACCCGCCGCGGGCACGACAGGCGCAGGCCTCGGCGTACAGTCCGGACCCGGCGCGTGGCTCGGCTGCCGGCGGGCGGCGCCACCGCTCCGGGTCCGAGCCTCCGCGGCAACCACACCCACCGGCTGCGCGGTGACAGCTCCCGGGGCTGAGGCGGCCTGGCCGGCCACGCCACGCCACGCCACGCCACGCCACGCCGCCCCCGCCCCCACACCGCGGGCTGACAGGTGCGGCCACCTCCCGGCTCCGCCCAACCGCCCGCCCCGGCCCCAGCCAGAGTCCAGCCGTCCACGGGTGCCCCGCTGCCCCCGCGCGCACCACCTGTCGGGCTGGAGCTTGCGCGCGGCCGCCGCCCGCCGGGCTCCTGACAACTTGGCTGGCGGGGGGCGACCCGAAGCCCCGGAATATGAGGGGCTTACCGGAGAGTGGGCCCCACGCAGGCGGTGTCCGTGCTCTCGATCTCCTGCAAGATCCGCTCATGCTCCGGGACTGTCCCCAGACCCTCACCGCTCTCCGCCATCTTGGCTGGAAGCTGAGGAGCTGGGGAGGCGCGGCCCCGCGCGCGAACGGCGGGGGCGAGCGGCAGGTGGCGCGCGGCGGGGCGGGGCGGGGCGGGGCTGGAGGGGCGGGGCCGCGGGGAACGTGGGAGCGAGCGGCAGGTGGCGCAAACATGGAGGGGCGGGGCGAGGGGCCCTGAAGGCGGGGCCTCTGTGGGTGGGTGGGGCCTTGGCAGGATAGGTGGTGGCGTGGGCGCGCGACTCACAGGGATTCCAGTGCCCGTTGGAGCTGGTAGTGGTGCCCAAAAGGGTGGGGGAGGACGTGGCAACCCCTGCCACCAGCCCTAGCTTGTCTACTGCCTGCATCTTTAGCTGTAAGATACATGGTGGTGTTTGTTCTGTGTGCCAGACCTTCCTCTACACGCTGGGAGTACCATAGTAAGGAAGATGGTGACCCACAGTCACCCTTGAGCTGCAATAAAAGCTTGAGAACGTTTGACCCAAGGGCCCGATGTACTCTAGGAATGGGAGAGTCAGGAAAACCAAAAATGTGCTCTCCTAAAGTAAGCCATGGTCCTAAGATTTCTTTTAGGGACCAACCAAAGTTCGAGGTGACAATCATAATGCCTGATCCTAATGAACTCGTGTCCGCTTGCCCCAGACAAGTTCACAGACGTTAGCCAACTTGTAAATTAATTATAAGCGTCAGAAAAACCAGAACAAGAACTTAAAACGGGTGAGTGAGACGATACAAAGGAGGCCTGGGACCATATCTAACTTGGTGTCAAAGTCCTTAAACCCACCCTAGGGTCCCAAGGTAGGAGTAACTAGAATGGGAAGAAGTCAGCGTTCTGGAAAAGGGGTGGGCAACCGAGGTGGAAAGAGGGCCTGTTGGCTGGAGCAAAGATGCCAGTGGAGCAAAGGAGTCCTGCTTAACCAGTTTATGAAACACAGCATGAACCAGTTTGTCATGATCAAAGCAGGGATAGAGAAAGATTAATCAGGAGCCTAAATGCAAACCCAGCCTGAGGGACAATTGTTTTCTGGTCTCCAGAAGACCTGGACTTTGAGCTTCCCCTGAGTCAGCCAGACCCTTCTCTACCAGGTGTGTGATTGACTCTCTTCCTCTTGCCTCTAGGAGAAGGCTCCTTCCTCAACAGCAAAAATCGAGGTGGAATTGCCTTTAAAAGTATAAAATATGAACTCAAGTGTTCTATTGCTAGATTAAGTTCACTGCATAGCTATGCAACACTGGACAAGACAATAATCCCTTTATATCTAACTTGTAAATGACTATAGTAGAGTCACCTAATATTGCTGTTCTCATCATGTATAATAGTGACTATTATGTATTTTCTATTCTTTCTTTTGTCGGTCGTGGGGCTTGAACTCTGGGCCTGAGTTCTGTCCCTCAGCTCTTCAGCTCAAGGCAACCTCTCTACCATTTAAGCATAGCACCACTTCCAGTTTTTCTGGTGGTTAATTGGAGATAAGAGTCTCTTGGACTTTCCTGACTGGGCTGGCTTTGACCCGCATTTCTCAGATCTCAGCCTCCTGAGTAGCTAGGATTACAGGCGCAAGCCATCCACACCCAGAGTATTTTTTTTCTTGCTATAACAAATTTGGTGGCTTAAAACAACTCAAGAGTATTACCTTGTAATTCTGTAGACTATAAGTGTGCCTTACAGGGTTACAAATAAGGGCTTAGCACAACTGTATTCCTCTCAGAAGATTTTAAAGAAGAATTTGTTTCTTTGCTTTTCAAGCTTCTAGATTATTTTGCTTGTGCCCCATCCCTACCCTCCTCATTCATGTTCAAAGCTAGCAACATTACATCTCTTTGACTACTGTTCTGTAGGCACATTTCCCTCTGACTCTGACCAAGTCTATAAATGGTAACTTTGCCTTTTTTTTTTTGTCCATATGGGGCTTGAGCTCTGGGCCTGGGTGCTGTCCCTGTGCTCTTCAGTTCAAGGCAAGCGCTCTACCACTTGAGCCACAGCACCACTTCTGTTTTTCTGGTGGTGTACTGGAGATAAGAGTCTCACAGACTTTTCCTGCCTGGGCCGGCTTTGAACTGTGATCCTTAGATCTTAGCCTCCTGAGTAGCTAGGATTACAGGCGTGAGCCACCAGCGCCCCGGCAGTAGCTTTGCCTTTGAGGACCTGAATGATTAAATTAGACTGAACCTGGTAATCCAGAATCATTTTTAATTGAAAGATCCTTTACTTTAATCATATCTTCAATATCCTTTTTGTCTCATTTTTTTTTCTTTTTTGCCATTCCTGGGGTTTGAACTTAGGACCTGGGCACTGTCCGTGAGCTGCTTTTGCTCATAGCTAACACTCTACCACTTGAGCCACAGTGGCACTTTCGGCTTTTTCTGTTTATGTGGTACTGAGGAATCAAACCCAGAGCTTCATGCATGCTAGGCAAGCACTCTACCACTAAGCCACATTCCCAGCCCTTGTCTCATATTCTTGTTTTTTGCTGGTACTAGGACTTGAACTCAGGCCTGGGTGCTGTTCCTTAGCTTTTTTCACTCAAGGTTGGTGGGGCCACAGCTCCACTTATAGCTTTTTAGTGGTTAATTAGATGTAACAGTCCTAAGGACTTTGCTGCCTAGGCTGGAAACATGTGACATGTGTACAGTGCACCTTGATTAGTCTCATCTCCTACATCACACTCTGTTCTTCCCCTTTTTCCTTTTCAAAAAGGAAATCTCAAAAAGCTTCACTGTTCTATTTTCTTAAAAAGCACTTTGACACATTCACCTCCCTTCACCCTCCTCCCCTACAGGACCTGCTTTACAGTCCTATCATTTGTTGTTGTTTTTAAATAATCAGTCTCTATATGTAGCAATTTGGCTGTTCATACAAAATGTTTTTAATTAATTTTTAAAATGAAACTTTTCACTGGTTGATTGCCTCTCATGAGAGGGAGGTGGGGTGGGAAGTTAATTCCTTTTGAAAACTGAGTCAGAAACTGAATCATGAAGAATAAGGATAACTTTTATCTCCTCCTACAAAGAGAATAAAAATCTGGTCCTCCCTAAAGGAAATAGCAGACTATTTTAGCTCAAAGGATAAGCATGCCCAGAATCCACTGCACTGAAGAGTAAAATAAGGCAAGGTAAGGTAAGGGGAGCAGGGCCTGTGGCATAGGCTGGCTTCCTAGTTGCTAGCATTTCCTGCAGGGGTATTCCTTTCCTGAGTATTATAACTTTTCCCTTTTCCCTTCTCTTCAGTCCTGACATTATCCATCCAAACCCACTTCCACATGCCCTGCCCTGGGAAGCCGGGCCTGCTTACCCACACTTATCAGGCCTATGCCAATACCTGCCTACAGGAATCCTCAGTACCAGTATAGCAGTATTCTAGTCTCCTTCTGAAATGGACTGTGCTGTTTCTTTTCTGTGACTTCTGATGGTTTGTTACTACCTGATGGTTTTTGCTACGAACTTAACAGTTTGGCAGAGTGCTGGTGGTTCACACCTGTAATCCTAGCTACTCAGAACGGCTGAGTTTTGAAGCCACACTAAGTAGAAAGTTCATGAGACTCCTAGCTCCAATGAAATACCAAAAAAGCTGGAAGTAGTGCTGGGATTCAAGTGTTAGAGCTCCACCCTTAATGAAAAAGCTAAGGTCCTGGGTTCAAGTCCCAGTACTGGCACAAAAAAGAAAAAAAATTCCCTAAATGATTAAGTGTGGTTCGTTGTGAATTGGACCCAGTGCTGGAGCCTGCTAGGTAAGCACTATACCATTAAGCCACACCCTCTGTTGATTTTAATTATGGTTATAGATATAACAAATATATAAATGAAGAGAAAACAGCCTACCCAAGGGATTAATATTAATATTAAGGGATTAATAAATCGTCTGAGGAAGCTGGAGATTGTCAAACACGTGAACAGAGTTCACATGCATGTTATTCTGGGACAACAGATATTAACTTCTTAAGGTTCCCCCTCCAAATCTCTTTACAGAACTCCCAGGAGGGAAAAATAAATCAGGAAGGTTGTCAGAGCAGGGTTTACATTGTGTCCAATATGAAACAACAAAGAATTTGACTTAGTCTACTAACAACTTAGACTTTGTTCAGGGAACTATCAACCTTTCTCAGGAAATCTCAAAAGGAAGCTGTAGATGGTAGCTAGCCTGGTCAGACATTTAACTTCTTGGGGTCAAATTCCAACTCTTGTTTACTAGATGTTTGGCCTAGGGGAGTTACTTCTGTACGCCCAGTTTATTCAAATGTGAACAGGAGATGACACAGGAGTCTTTAGCTTACCAAATAGTGTAGAGACTAAAAGAGACTTTATAGATACAGATTTCGGGGTAGGGAGGGTGTGTCAGTACTGGGGCTTGAACGCAGGGCCTGGGCACTATCCTTTAGCTTTCTCACTCAAAGCTGGCACTTACCATTTGAACCACAACTCCATTTCTGGCCTTTTGCTGGTTAATTAGAGATAAGATTTTCCTGCCTTTACTGGTTTTGAATTGTTATCCTCAGATTGTAGCCTCCTAAGTAACTAGGATTATAGGTATGAGCCCCTGGTGCCCAACAGATAATAAAGGTATAATATTGAACCTAGAGCTCAATAAATACTAATGTTGAAAACTAGGCCTACCAGACATTTGTCAGAAAGCCATATAAGGAAATAACTTAGCTTCTTTTCTGACAAAATTATATATATATATATATATATAATTATATATGCATATGTTGTTTTTTCTAACCCTCAACAAAATTACACATTAGGGCTCTGTGCACCTGAACCTCATTATTTTATAATAAATGAGTGTAAATCTCCAGAAATGTGTTCTTTTGTTAAGATTTATGTTGTAAAAGCATTGTCTGTGAGATAGTAGGGTACTTCTCTATGCCTGGGAACCTGTAGCAGACATTTGATCATAAAAATTATCTGGTCTTAAGCTTGCACTCTACCTCTTGAGCCATTTTGATGGTTATTTCAGAGAAGGAGTCTAGGGAACTTTTCTGCTCTTGGCTGGCCTCAAACTACAGTCTACTAGATGTCAGTTCCCTGAGTAACTAAGATT